GTATGAAGTATTGGCTTCTATTTCTAGTGCTCAATTGACAGCTCTGTGTTTTGTTACCAACTACGTGTTTTGCACTTCTGTGTCTGCAACCAGAATTACCCTGGGGGTAACATGAGCTTTCTGAGCGGGAGTCAATTGCAATGGAATGTGTGATTATTTTCTTTCTTTACTTTCCACAGACAATTTATAAACCTTCAAGAGCTCATCTACTGCTGGGAGTGCTCTGTTTTCCAATGTCTCTTTTCCTTGTGATAATAAACTATTAGTGCTACAAAGTCTTGGGTGGATATTATGCCATACATAACAGAAGGTGTCCCTGACTTGCTTCTCTCATTCCCTAGGTAGCAGCTTAATATAGACGACAATCCAGGATGGCACCCAGGACTTTTTAAACTCTACTCCAACCCTGTGTTTCAGGCTGTGAGCCAGGCTATGGCACTTCTCCATTTGTGGGATACTTGTGATCCATATTATCTTTTGGGAGTCAATCTCCCAACTACCACCATTGCCTGTCTCCAGCCTTGGAACCCGTAACTTCAGCCCCCCATCCCCACCCCCTTATGCTACAAGTTTTAGTTCTCTATCACATCCATGGAGATACTTACCCAGTTTTAAAGTATGTATTGCTATTATTTTAGGTACTATTACTACACAGAGTCACAGCATCTCCAGAGAGATTTGGCCAGAAATCTCCAAAATATGCCTTAGGAGTAACTTAGGGATGGTACTCAGTGTTATTGCTATTGCATTTATTGGGGGTGCGATGACCAGTGGTGATGGACCAGTTTAGGCTCTACTCTTCTAAAAATAGTGCCAATTTATCTAATAGGATTCTAAGGAGAAGCATCAACATTTCAAAATTTGCTTGAGCTCCCTCATGTGCCTTTTGGCCATTGCTGGTTGCAAATGAGAAGAATGCCAAGATTTAAATGCTTCTAACAATTCCAGCATGTCGCTAGAGGCACAAAAAATATGAAGTTTCTGGACTTAGTGGTGTAAATGATGAGGATTTCAAACAGAAAAGGGAAATGTGGTAGGGTAGGATAGGAAGGGCGAGATTCTGCTCCCTGGTGTACACACCCTGGGTAATCCCCTCCCCTCTGAGCACTACAGGGTCATCTTGAAAATGTTGGGCTTTCACTCCCATGGTTAGGTGACAGCTGTATGGCAAAGGTGAAGGGATTTTTCAGTTATAATTAAGGTCCTTAATCCGTTGAATTTGAGTGTATCAAAGGAGATCATCCTGGGTGGGCCTGAATTTTATCAGGTGAGCCTTTAAAAGGGACTAGGCCCTTCCTAACGGGAGAGATTTGAAGTGTGGGTGAGATTATTCTGTTGGCTTTGAAGAAGGCCCTGAAGGCAGCCTGGAGGAGCTGAGAGTGACCCTGGCCAATCCCCAGCAAGAAAATGGGAGTGTCAGCCCTACAACCTCAAGGAATTGAATTTTGCCCACAACTTGAACAACCTTGCAAGACGACCCTGACTATCAAATGAGAATGCAGCTAGCTGGCACAGCTGATTTCAGCCTGGTAAAGTCACTGAGCAGAGAACCCAGGAATCCCCGACCTGAACTCCTGACCCACGGAAACCGAGATAATTAAGATACATTGTTTTAAGCCTCTAAATTTGTGGTAATTTGCTATACAGCAATAGAAACGAATACAAGAGGTTATACTGAACTTCATTCCACTATTTTATGGGGCAATGTGCAAATGCCAATCTCAGATGAACCATATCTCCACTAACCATAAAAGAGAAAGTGGCCACAGTGACTGGCACAGCGATCCTGCTGGTCCATAGCAGTTATATCTCTAGGCTTTCTTTTATTTTTTTTAAAATTTTTTAATGTTTATTTCTGAGAGAGACGGAGACAGAGCAAGTGCGGGGGAGGGGCAGAGAGAGAAGAGACACAGAATCCGAAGCAGGCTCCAGGCTCTGAGCTGTCAGCATGGAGCCCGATGCGGGGCTTGAATTTACAGACCGTGAGATCATGACCTGAGCCGAAGTCAGATGCTTAACCTACTGAGCCACCCAGGCGCCTCTAGGCTTTTTTAAATCAGTGTACAAAGCCAAGTGAGAACCACCAGAAATTTAAAGTGGTGGTAACATTAACAAGATCCAACATCTATCATCTTTGTGGTGCCTTAGACACAGGGAAACTTCAAGAGTAACACCAAATACAAGCATAGGTTATAGATTAACACACTGACTTCAGGTCAAATTAAAAGATGAGTGCCCACCAGTATGGGGTGGGACCTGCCACAAGAATCACATCCTGCTTTTTAAGCAGTAAAGCCAGCATCGTCTACTGGTTACATATGAACTGGGCAACAAATCCCAGAGGCCTTGGAACATAGTCCACTGGACCACAGCTGCACTAGGCTGTATATGTGCAAAGGTCAGATTACGACAGGACACCTAAGAAGATAACGGAGTAGTAAGTTTAACAGGCTGGCGGTTGGTGGATAGAAAACTTCATATGGATCCAGTGAAGCACAAAGTCAAATGATCAGGTGTAGCCACTGATTGGTGAGAAACAATGACAGACTGAACTGGGGGCAGAGCAGATTCAGGTAGGTGCACTTGTAAGTGTACAAAAAACACCTGAACTGCTCCCCACAGGGCAGTTGATTTCAGTGTTTACTGTGGAAGGAACTTATATTTAAATTTTTAACAAGAAAGCAAATCCTTTGTCTATAATAGAACTTTTCAAAGCACCAAATTCATTGTAAGCCAGGGCAGACGTGGACACCATTACCACTATTGGAAGCATCCAGGAGACTGTAATGTTTTATGACATAAACCGTGAGGAGAGCTGTGTAATTTGGAAACCATATTATTTACTGTTCCACGATTTAACAAATGTCAAAAACTTCTGGACTCCACATTTTTTTTTTTTTTAAAGCTTTGAACTTTTTTTTTTTTTAATTTTCTTTTTTTTTTGAACATTTATTTATTTTTGGGACAGAGAGAGACAGAGCACGAACGGGGGAGGGGCAGAGAGAGAGGGAGACACAGAATCGGAAACAGGCTCCAGGCTCTGAGCCATCAGCCCAGAGCCTGACGTGGGGCTCGAACTCACAGACCGCGAGATCGTGACCTGGCTGAAGTCGGACGCCCAACCGACTGCGCCACCCAGGCGCTCCTGGACTCCACATTTTTAGTTTTGGGGTCAGAAAGCATGTCATTCCTACATATTGTCAGTGGCAAGATCCATCTGAGAGCCACTAAAAGCTCAAATGTTTTCCCTAGGAAGCAAGATGGCTGCAGGTACCTGTCTTCACTCTCTTGAAGAGACTCTTTCCTGTTTGGAAAACCAAACAGGTTTCTCTACTTCAACTCGGTTGATTTTTCCATCTGCGTATGTAGAATCCACAGCATACCTGGCCCCTTAAATCAGCAACAGAAAAAAATCTGCTCTCCAGGCCCTCCCCAAAGGGCAACATTTATTTGACCACCATCTCCTTCTTGCCAGAGTTCCCTGATATTCCAGACACGGAAAGAGAGGAATGAAGTCTATCTAATTCTTCCAGACAGTCTAAATTCTATCAAGACAGCTGGCCCTTAAACTGTGACCATGGGCCATCAGAGTGGGGCAAAAGACCTTCGACCTTTCTATCCCTCCTATCCAGTGAATTGGACCAATTTATGGCCCATTACAAAATCCTTACAGCCATGGAGTACACCTTGAGAACACTTGACTTAGATGATCTGAAAGCCACATTACCTGCTGCTTCCCTGTCCTGCTCCTCATTTGCTCCACCTTCAAGATGAAATGCCTTTGCTAAATTATCTTAGACATGTTGCTGTTATTCCTTCCGTTTTCATGAAAGATGCACATAAGAACTGGTCACACAAGGGGCACCTGGGTGGCTCAGTCGGTTGAGCGTCTGACTTCAGCTCAGGTCATGATCTCACAGTTCGTGGGTTTGAGCCCCACATCAGGCTCTGTGCTGCTCAGAGCCTGGAGCCTGCTTCAGATTCTGTGTCTCCTTCTCTCTCTGCCCCTCCCCTGCTCACCCTTTGTCTCACTCTGTTTCTCAAAAATAAATAAATCTAAAAGAAAAAATTAAAAAAAAAGAATTGGTCACACGAAGAATACTTGCCAAACCTATGCTGATGAAGACACTGTCCATTATATTTTCTCTTTGTACACACAGAGCTGATACAAGAAATGTCTTCAAAAATTTAACACCGGAAAATAAATTTATCTAGATACACTAAGTTTTGGTTTATCATTCAATGAAATATTGATAATCTACTGGCAGCCAAGAAGCTCAGAGTCAAGGTCAATGCTCAATTACAGTTAACTCTATCAGCCTTGGGATATTTACTCTAGCCTTCATACCTGCATATTTTATTGAAATACCCCAAATCTTTTCACAGAGTAGGTTAGTTGTATATTTTAAAACATTCTGGTGGGATGATAAGGACAAAACTTTAAGAATATATTATAAGAGCTCAAATCTTACATTTTAAGGGGCAATATAATATAGTGGTTAAATCTATACTACTAGGTTCAAATCTCAGCCCACCTACTTTTGACTTTGTTTTTTTTTTTTAAAGATTTTATTTTATTTTTTGAGTGGTTATTTATTTTTGAGAGAGAGAGACAGAGACAGAGTGCAAGTGGGGAAGGGGCAGAGAGAGAGGGAGACATAGAATCCGAAGCAGGCTCCAGGCTCTGTGCTGACAGCACAGAGCCTGACATTGGGGTGGAACAAACGAACCGTGAGATCATAACCTGAGCCGAAGTTGGACACATAACCGACTAAGCCCCCCAGACGCTCCCCCAAAATACCTCTTTTGTAGAGTTATTCTGAGGAAAAAATGTATCAATATACATGAAGTACTTAGAGCTGCAAGCACTAAAAATGATTTGCTCTTATTATCTCATGGGCTAATGTTAAACTCTATCAGTACATGGTATGATCAAAATGTCAAATGCTATTATTAGGCTTCTGAACTTTATCCATTCAAATGCAACATATAATTCTTACCTACTGTGGCAGATGCTGATGAGAGCAGAGATTTGCCCCAGGAGCCCCAGCCTGCCCATCCCCCTCCATGTGATGGGGAATCCACAGCCTGTAGAAAAACAAATTAGCCCCAAGGTTAGCAATTCAGTACACACATGAGTGAAAAAACATCCATTGGTTTGAAACAAAAAGAAAGTTAAAAAAAATAACCATATCTCCCTGGCTTCGCATTTATAAGGGCCATAACAGAATACACCGACCCACATTTCAATGCATACTTTGGAACAAAATTGATTAGTAGTGGTGTTGGCTTCTGAGGGCTCTGCTTGAAGTAAGTTTGATGTTAACAAAGACCCAAATATCCCATTATCTGGAAGATAGGGACGAGGCTTGTGAGGGGGAAAACATTTACTATATTAGGGTGCAAAGTGATCTGAAAAAGTTTAAAACTTGGGCAACTTTAACATAGGTAAGCAAATGTCCTCTTCCAGGTTAGAGGTAACTAACCTCTGGGGTGACAGGAGGGAGTTCTGAGGGATGACGGGCAAAGTGGCTAGAAGAGCACCAATAAGCTGGGGGATGGGCAGCAGCAACAGGTAGCCTTTTGAAGTAGATGCCGTTCTAGGTGTCCACTCCACTCACAGTGACCACTGTAACTATATCTCTCACTGTCCCCGGGCTCTGTGGATTCAACTCCTTCTGCCTAAGTATTTGGATTGAGATTGAGGGACTCTGGTTCAGCTTGAGCTGGCTGCTTGAATAGAAGATGAAAAGTCAGGCCGTGTAGGGGACCATATTCTATCCATCATGGTGACTACAGATTAAGAGAAATCAGTGAGCAGATGAAGGAGATATGCGGAGAGAAGCTGTTGAATTCCTGACAGCTTCTGGGCCCCTGGTTCCTGTCCCTCTTCAAGGCCCTACCGCATTGCTATCTTTGGGTTCCATGAGATTCCTGCATATTAAGTCTGTCCGTCTTTTTCTTTTTTAAATGTTTTGTTCACTGGTATATCCCCAGGGCCTGGAAGAGTACATGGCATACAATGAGTACTTAATACATTTATTTGTTGAATAAATGACTGAAATTCACCCATTTTCTTCAGTGTGTAATAGTTTTTGTTGCTTGTAACCAATGAGCCCTGACTCAATTAGCGAAACTGCAGCTTTCCCTTATTATTTAGGAATACATTCTAGAAAATGAGGCAAGAATACATTCGGAGTAATACATGAGGTGTTAGAGAATCACAGCTCTTTACTCCAAAAAAAGAGAAAGTTCAGTGAAATATTCCTACGGAGGTTGTAGAGCCTATAACTTTGGACCCAAGGCTGGTCCATCAGCCTCCGCCCCCCCTTTCTCCCTGCTGCCTTCTACCTTTGCAGATGAGGGTGGGCATGTCAAACAGTTTTAGCCAATGAGACATAAACGGGAAAGCTTTTGCTTTCATGACAAACTACACAGTTATGGCTGGTGCCAACTCTTACCGTCATCCTTTTTTTCCTGCCCTGCATATAAACGTGGTACTTGAAACTGAAGCAGCCATTTTTGCTGCCATGAGAGAAAGTTCAGGGAATCATAGAGTCACTGGTCCTGGCGTTGCTGAGCTACTAAACCAATATGAGTAGCCGCCTGTCTTCATTCTTTTTGTTAAGCCAGAAAAAATAAGTTGCTATTTGGTAAGCTACTATATGTTGGATTTTAGTTATTTGTACCCAAATGCATTCTTAACCAATTCACCTAGTAAATATCAAACACCATCCATCACTGTAGAATACTGGTCAAGAGGAGAGGTTATGGAATTAAACTGCTTGGGTTTGACTCCAGGCTCTCCCATTTTGGGCAAGTTATTCAAGTCTTTCAAGCTATCATTTATTCATTACGAAATGAAAGGTATGGTAGTGTAAGAACCATAAATATAAGAGCCAATAAACTCACAGGATTATTGTCAATGTTAAAAGAAATAATTCATATAAAACTTTGAGCATAATGCCTGGCACATAATAAAAACTCCATCAATGTTAACTAGTGATCATCATCATCTACATTTTTAACACGAAGGAGCAAAAAAGCTTTGAAAGTTGGCTGACATTTATTTCTGCCTGGAAACAATGAGGAGCTTGTTAACATGAATGGAAATACTCATGATTCATGACTGTCTGCTTTCATTTTTGGTGTCTACATTGATTTACTTCACTTTTGCAATGGAAGCCAGTGGCAATTTTATACCATCATGAAGACAGATGTAAGTTGGTGATTAATATCATTCTTTTACAGGACAAATCACTACCTATGTGATTAGGGAGAGTTAATACACTTAGGGGTGACAGCTTTTGACTCAGATTTATAATACTTAATATGCTCTGACAGCTGGTAATTGACTAGCAAATGAAAATAAATGTTAAATGAGTCTAGAATATTTTGCAGTATAAATGCTTCAATTGCTCTATTAATAAAGCTCCTTTGACATTGAGCTGTGACCTCGTGATCAGCTGCAAAGAAAATTTGTTATCAATGGCAAATACTCAAATGACTAAATGTGCACATTTGATATAAAAACCATATAAACTAAATGTTCAACATGAATTCTCATCTTGAGTATTGTCTCTGCTTTAAATGGCTTATGGGTCTATAAAGTAGGGGGCATGGATCTACTCAGATCTTTCATTAAACAAATATGGTTATTTTAAAACTTTTTTCTCACCTTCACCCCATGCAACCCTCACCTCCTTTAACAGACAGCTTTGGGGTGCCTGGGTGCTCAGTTGGTTAAGTCCAACTCTTGGTTTCAGTTCAAGTCATGATCTCAAGGTCGAGCTCCGTGTCAGGCTCCACGCTGACAGTATGAAGCTTGCTTGGGATTTCTCTTTCCCTGTCTCTCTCTGCCCCTCTCCCACACTTGTCCTCTCTCTCTCTTTCTCTCTCTCAAAATAAATAAATAAACTTAAAGCAAACAGTCAGCTTCACATCCTAATTCACAGAGAACACAGAAGCCACCAGATGGAAACTCTCTTAACTTCCTGTTCCTGCTCATAAACTCTCAGAACATTATGACTTCATTTAGAGAGCAAAATCAGACTTGGCTTGATCAAGAGGGATACCCAAAACTCAACTGGAGATCATTAAAAAAAAATTTTTTTTAATCTTTATTCACTTGTGAGAGACAGAGAGAGGCAGAGCATGAGCAGGGGAGGGGCACAGAGAGAGGGGAGACACAGGATCCAAAGCAGGCTCCAGGCTTTAAGCTGTCAGCACAGAGCCTGACGTGGGGCTCGAACCCACGAACCGTGAGACCATGACCTGAGCTGAAGTCAGACGCTCAACCGACTGAGCCACCCAGGCACCCCTCAACTGGAGATCATTTAAACATCCACAGCTGTTGTGTGGTCCTAAGAATACAAAGAATGCAGGATTCCATCACGTTCAAAGTTCTTTAAGTAGAAAAGATATTTACATATCTGGTGTTCCATTTAAAGGTCCTTATCATTAAATAAAAAATACGTTAATTTATTTTACGCTATCAAATTTACATGTATCATTAGACATAAAAAATGTACAAATATTAGAATTCCATTGAATTCAAAGGACTTTAACAATTAGATAGTAACATAGGTACCTGTTGTAAAGATCAAAGATCAACCTGGTTATCCTATGTCTTAAGTAAATCAAGAATTAGGTACTACACACAGCTTGCATCTGTGAGACCAAACCCTTTTTAAGTTTTGTTACTCATGACACAGCTGCTCTAAAAAGGGGCTCAGTGTGACATTCAGCGAAGATGTAAATTGCTCTGGATGCCTGAAGTTCTGTCAAAATATTTGCTTAAAAATGGCCTCAGTTATTTCCAGGTAATTTTTTTCCTTGGTGAGTATGCATCATTCAACTCTGAGAATGTTTAAAATTAAATATAGAAAGGTTTAAAGCATCAAAGTCATGCTATTAATATTTCTATGCATATTTGGTCTTTTCTGCACGATTGTTTAAGAAATTAAAGTGAAACTTTAAAAAGACAATTTAAAATGAATAATTGAATGATTAGACTTATGATTTTAAGTTGAAATCTTCCTAAGTTGATGCATAGTATTGGCATCTAACAGGTCTTTAGGTCCAACCCATTATTTAATAGATTTATAGCACTTCCTATGGACTCAGCAAGATTTTGTTTGAGTAGATAAATGAGGTACTTAAACAGAAAACAGAATACATTAAATTCGTATAGACACAATTTAAAGATATTTGAACATATTTAAGTTGGTAAAAAGGACAAACCATTCATCAAAAGTCCCTTGAAAGTGTTCAATATTGCTAGACTTCCAAATAGAATAAGATTCGTGAGATGAACATAAAGTCTAGGAAGAATTGCATTTTTGAATTTATAACCTTAATACATTGAACACTAATTGTTTAAAACCATATTAAAAGCCTGAGTAGTCCTTTTTATGCACAAAATACACACTGGCCTACACCAAATACCCATCTAAATACAAAGTCGACCTAACTGCACCCCGCACTCACAATTACTTCCTTCCCATCTAGCATTATGGAAGTGATGTCTTCTCAGTTAAAATTATCACCTCCACATGAACACCGCTGGGCCTGGATAGGTTGGTCTTCCCTTCTCTCCTGGCTTTTCAACCTTTCTCTACCGCTACTTCCCATATTTAACCATGTACGTGCTTCCTCCATCTCTAAACCTACAAATGAAAATCACAAGGACAGAAAGTTTGTCTCAAACTTATCTGGTTTCTGCCCCACATCTTGCTTCTTCACTTTTTACAAAAAGTGCCTACCTGCTGTATCTACCCCCCTCCATTACTCCACCTGCCACAGTATTCTCCCACAGCCACCATGCTTCATGAAACCATTCTCATCAATGCCACAATAGCTTTCTTGTGGCCAAAGTCATGGAGTCATTGCAGTCATTTTATTTCTTGACCTTTCACTAGCATCTGAAGCTTAACTACTTTGACCTTCTTAAAATGCTCTATACTCATGGCTTCCATGCTCTATCTTCTGACTCTTACTTTTTTTGGTCCATCTTTTATGATTTCAGTTTATGTTAGAAAGTCGCCAAATGCATATTGTGATATTAGGGGGAATGCCTTAATTAAGTT